TTTTTTTTTTTTTTTTTTTTTTTTTTTTTGAGACAGAGTATCCCTCTGTAGCCCAGCCTGGAGTGGCGCAATCTTGGCTCACTGCAACCTCCACCCCCCGATTCAAGCAATTCTCCCACCTGAGCCTCCCAAGTAGCTGGGACTACAAGTATGCACCACCATACCCAGCCAATTTTTTTCTCTTTTTTTTTGAGATGGAGTCTTGCTCTGTCTCACAGGCTGGAGTGTAATGGTGCAATCTCAGCTCACTGCAACCTCTGCCTCCGGGTTTACGCAATTTTCTTGTCTCAGCCTCCTGAATAGCTGGGATTACAGCACCTGCCACCATGCCCAGTTAATTTTTTGTATTTTTAGTAGATATAACGTTTCGCCATGTTGGCCAGGCTAGTATTGAACTCCTGACCTCAAGTAATCCGCCTGCCTCAGCCTTCCAAAGTGTTGTGATTACAGGCATGTGCCACCACTCCTGGGCAGTCATATTTATACTACTGTTTTTAACTTAAATTTATACATGCTAACGTACATTTGTGTAGCCATAATCAACATTATTTAATTATCTGCTGGTGGAGTTAGCTGCAAAGAAACTGGAAGGAACCAAATTATGATTAAATAAGGGCATGCAGTTATTTCCAGTCTTCTTCCCTCCCCCCATACTACAGTAGATCATACCCGTTGCTGCCAAAGCCTAGAAAATTATCTTTAATGTTAAACTAGAGTTTTAATGTTATCTTTAATGTTAAACCCGAGATTTTTTCATTAAGAGGCTAAATCTCTTCTGATACAAAGTAATCAGTCCTGCTTTATAACAACAGGAACGTCAACAAAGTCATGTTTGTACAACACTTATGATTTACAAAAATCTTCCAAAACATTATTCCAATTGAAATTTCAAATCATGACCTACATGTTGGAACTTTGACTAGATAAAAGGTATTAAATCATTGCAATCCTTTCATTTCCTGACCCATGAAGGCCCTTCAGACCCAACAAAACCACAGTCTCATATCTGGGGAGAATGTAAAGAGAGGTACGAGTTGGAAAAACAGCAAAACTAGTTTAAGGTCAGCCATGAAAACAATCTAAAAGAGAAATTGAGGGCTGTGGCTTTCCTTTGGTATTGGAAGCAGGTTTATATTTTGGCTTCTCTCTTTTTATAAGTATGTTGGACTTGTTAATATTGTGGTGGGGGGGAGGTTGTTTGTTTTGTTTTTTGTTTTTTGTGGGTTTTGTTTTGTTTTGAGACAGCACCTCGCTATGTTGCCCAGGCTGGTCTTGAATTCCTGTACTCAAGCCATTCTCCTGCCTCAGCCTCCCAAAGTGCTGAGATTGTAGGTACAAACTGTAGCTAACCTATTGTTCTTTTTCTATCCCTGCTTTTGTGATTATAAAGTTGAGAATTTATTACACTAAAGCCAGTTGTCAAAGGTACATCAACAAACTCAGGTCATCCTTTATGAATTAATTGTATGCATTACCAACTGCTATAGTTTGAATGTGTTCTCTCCAAAATTCAGATGCAGAAACTTAATTGCCAATGTCATAGTATTAAACGGTGGGGCCAGCCGGGCGCAGTGGCTCATGCCTGTAATCCCAGCACTTTGGGAGGCTGAGGTGGGCGGATCACAAGGTCAGGAGTTCAAAACCAGCCTGGCCAATGTGGCGAAACCCCAGTCTCTACTAAAAATACAAAAATTACCCAGGTGTGGTGGTGCACGCATGTAGTCCCAGCTACTTGGGAGGCTGAGGCAGGAGAATTGCTTGAACCCAGGAGGCAGAGGTTGCAGTGAGCCAAGATCACACCACTGCACTCCAGGCTGGGTGACAGAGCAAGAC